GTTCTCTCTATTTTGTGCAGTGGTTCTGGAAGTCTTCTTTCGTGAGTGTTTATCTTGTGAGTTTTAATATCTTAGCTGCCTTGGTGTCTTGATTCAAATATTTACCTTTTATGGTCATTTTGATTTGAAGAAAGAGCCAGAAATCACTCAGAGCAGATCTAGTGATTAAGGAGGGTGAGATAAAGTACAGTGGTGTTATTTGAGGAAAAATTGCATAAATTTTGAATTGGTTTGGGACCTGGAGGCAACCTTCAAAACACATGAAAGAAGACTTCCAGAACTGCTTAAGAAAGTGACATGAATGATGTAATAAGTGTGTTTAAAGCCAGGGGTAGAACTTTGAGGGAGATTAATGGCAGTGAGTCTTTTACTGTACTAAACTTCGCAAAATTTTAAATTTAAATGTTCACTGTTTTTTGTAGATACTGTTATTCTCCGAACAATCCTATATAAGTTAGAGGTACCAGTCATAGTGTTAACATGAGAGTGTATCAGATAAGGCAATAAAATGGTGTAAGAACTCAGAGGAGGTAAAAAATTTTTTTATTCTTGGTGGTGCTTTGATTCATAGGTATAGCCACAATTTAACTTGACCGTTAAAAGGACATAGATTCAGAAAGAGTCCCATGCTGATTCAGAAAGTGACAATTAAATCTTAGTATTTTGGTGTATTCTTCACTTCCATTAAATCAAAAAAGCTAGAATGCATCTTAGGTGAATATTTTCTTGAATTTGCTGAGGGTACACTCTATTTTCCAGGATTCTGGTATAAAAGACATAAGAAAGCAGAGTAGATCCAGAGCATTGGAGTTACTTCCTTATTTTTTACACAAGGCCGTGTTACTTAATCAGTTCTTAACATTTGGAAGTGGGATTGTAGTAGGGAGAAAAGATTATCAATTTTTTTATATTTTGTGGTAAATGAGATTGAGATGTGGCATTTTAATGTTTGGAAATAAGACTTCTAGTGATATCACCTTGTCTCCATCTCTTTCTGTTGAAACCTTGGGAGAAGCATGTTATGGTGGATTTATTTTCTTGTTCTTGATCATTATTTTCGTACCTTATCTCTGACACTGAACTCCAGTCACCTACTTCTTAAATCTTTTTCCTAATACAGTTCAATACCTGGGTCTCAGCCTAATCACTGTTCTTTATTCTTAACAGCTTTTTGTGATTCAGCATTTTAAAAAATGACAAAACCAAAAACAACACTGCATCTTCTGAGTTCAGTAAGAAAAATTTTATGTTCAATTCATAGTTAATTATAATAAAGCATAAATAGTGCATCAAAATAATATTATAGTACAAGATAATCATTTGTGATTATATTTGCTTAACTTTTCCTTCATTGTATATATCAAAATATTATTAATAGACATCTGTTAGAACAGGAAAATCATTTTATTCTAAATAACTGAATGTTTAATTTCCATTTTGTACAGTTTACATACATTGCACTGATCTTGATGCTGTGATTTTCTTTGAAGGTGTAATTGATAACCCAATGAACTAAACTTTAAGTGATACCTCATTTGCAGAATAAAAGGTCATTTCATTAGCTTGCTATTTCAGGGCACTTCAAGTTTGAACCAAGCAAACATGTCCAATTTGATGTTCCACTATTTCCTTTAATAGCCTTGCTTTTTACCATATAGTCAAGCTACAGAGAGATATTTCCTGTTTCCTTTAATGTCTCTCCAGTCTAACCACATGATTGAGGGCAGATTCCACATTCTATTTGTTCTGAACACTTACGGTCAGCTCTTAGCATAGAGACCTATGATGATAAATGAACACTAAATAAATAAATTTTGCTCTGAGTATATACTTTAAGTCTATATGTTTGGAGTCCCACCCACCAGTGTGGAACATGTCTAAGACCTCTAGTGGACTTCAGTTTTCTCTAAACTATTAAAGTATCTTATATAAAATTCTGTGTGTGTTTACCATACTGTGTATGATATCACTCAGATAGAGGCCTTATCCCATTTCTTCTTTTGGTACAGAGCACATGGGCTTTTGTGCCAGTTAGTCTTGGCTTTGAGTGTTAGTTACGTCATGTGTATTTTTGGACTGATCTTCATCTGTTCAACAAAAATTAATGTTATCTATTCCTTGGTTGGTCCCAAGACCAAATGAGATAATGTACATAAAGAGCACTTGACATTCAGTAAGATCAGAGAGTCTTAAAGATTCAACATTTTATTTGTAAATCTTATAAAAGATTTTAACCCTGGGTTAAAAATAAATGATAACCTTGGATATGTATGTTACTTATTTAATTCTTGGCCCTTGTCCTGAGTATACATATCCCTAGATAATTATACAGTGGCTGTAATATACTGTGATTTATTCTGAAGAGGTATCCTAAAATATAAATTTTAATCTGGTTATTGCATCAGGCATGCTGTGAGCCAGAATTTAAAATGTATTAGGAAAACCATAAGTTACTTAAAAATGCAAACAAGATTTACATTATTTGAATTCATTTAGGTTCTGAATCTTTACCAAACTGAATCTCGTTATGAAAATAGTGATGTGTTTAATTCTGTCATTATAGACTATTCCCATTTTGAGAAATGTTTCAAAAAATAGAGAAGCATATGTTTAGAATTTGAAGGAACCTGGAGATTAAATTCCTTATTTTTTATTCAGGATTTAGAAGATGTCATGCTAAATTAAGCCTGTGAAACTAAAGGCTTTTACATTTTAAGAAAATTTGTCAGTTTTTATAATTGAAAAAAAAATCTCTTCATAGTAAATTAATGGCTGATGATATTGAAAGTTAAGGCAAACCTTGTTCTGGGCTTCCCTGGATGATATGGACAATTTATATCTTTAAAAATCAGAGAGACTAAAACAAACTCAGAAATGTTGTGAAAGATATGCAGCATTGATTCTAATTGCATTGGGTAGAAAAGTCCACCTTGGGGATTGTCCTCCTAGGGTTCCTTTCTTTATGACTTTCTTTAATGAAGATTTCCCTTACCTATACCACTACTCCCAAAAAAGATGACTAAGATTCAACTTAATCTTATAGTTGAATCAGCAGCCTTCATATGCCTGAGAAAGTGTATTGTTTGTGACTTTTTTTTCCTGGTAAACATTCCCCTGTTGTCTATTGTATGTCCTGTCACTGAGCTAGGTGCTGGGGCCTGGAAGGATGACCATGACTCTGTTATCTCCAGAGCTCAGAGGCATTTTAGCATCAGGCTTGAGTTTGCCTCAGTAGGTGTTGGGAAATAATTCTGAAATAATTCTGTGATAGAAGGCACTACATATTTCCCCAACTTTGGTAAAACTGAATGCTTCATCTTCATCTAGTTGACAGCATTTAGAGGTCTTAGTAAAGAAATCAGTAACGTTTCTTAATCTAGTCTTTCGTTTGCTTATTTGAGAGAGAGAGAGAGAGAGAGAGAGTGTGTGTGTGTGTGTGAGAGAGAGAGAGAGAGAGAGAGAGTGTGTGTGTGTGTGTGTGAGAGAGAGAGAGAGAGAGAGAGACAGACAGACAGACAGACAGACAGACAGACAGATATACATAATATGTCTTGGGTTATAAAATGCTCTACAGAACTTAGCTGAGAAACCATGCAGAGATGGGTAGGGGTGACAGGGAAATGAGAATTAGAGAAGTGTTCATACCAGTGGTCACGTGGGAAAGCAAGTCCTGAATGATGAGAATACATAGGAGAGTAAGTGAGGTTCTGTGCTGGGTAGAAAGAACAGGACCTTCAAAAGAACAAGTGCTTGCACATGTTGTTTGTGGTGTGATGCAGGAAATTCTAGGTAGCTGAATGTCATGAAACAGTGGTACTGTCAAAACTAGGAAGGTCTGTCAGAGAAAGGTTCAGGGCCATTAAAATGTGTAAAAGACCTTGATAATATGGTAATAAAACAAGTAGTAGTCTATTTTAGAGTTACATAAAGTCTGCTGGGCATTATAGTTAAAGTTAGCTTTTCATAGGGAAAACAGACTTTAGATTTATTAAAAAATAGAAAAAAGGAGATAAATTATTATGGCTGAATCATCTCCAGTGTCCCATGATTGGGTTTTTAATGTGATTTAATCACACTTTCAAAAAATTTTGAGTCATCTCTGAGCATTTGAATACAGTACATTGGTAATAATGAGCCAGTTTTTCTTGTAAAAAACTTCAGTTGAACTAATTTCTATTTTGGAATTAATCTTGTAGGACAATCATATGTGAAGACAAAAACACATTATTTTTATATACTTAAATTTAAGGCTTTACTGAATCTGTCCTTACCACCTTTTTTTTTGGTATGGGGGATTGAACTCAGGACCCCGTGCTGGCCAGGCAGGCGCTTATTCTACTGAGCTATCTCCCCAGCCCCCTCCTCAATGTCATTGATATTCACTCTAAAATGTTTGGAAGTATAGAAAAATTAAAAAGAATAAGCATACTTATGTCCTATAGAGACATGTATATGCTGGTATATTTGTATTTTTGTATCTATAAATAATCTAAATATAGTGTTTGATTATTTTTTATATTTTTCAACATTAAAAATATTTGTAAATGCCACACTTAAAGAATAACATTCCTTTTGGTAGATATGGCATAGTTTCCATAGCTATAGATAGTCCAGTTTTTCCAGACATAGTTTTGGATGATTTTCTTTTTGCGACTGCATATAATGCTTTGTGTTTATAGTCCTGGAATTGAATTATTGAATCAAAACAGTAGAAATATATTTAAGGCTCTTGAGGCATGTTGACGTGTTATTTTCTAAAACAGTTTAGTAATTTAAAATTTCACTGGGAGTGTCTCAAAGGGTTTAATTTCAGATCTTAGAAGCAGTCATTTTTAAAAGTCAACAATAATAAACTGTGGTTTTGATAGCTTAAAAATATCGGCATATATTGTTTTCTTCATGGTTTTAATGGTAAGCAGTATAATTCAGTGTAATTTTTCAAATACTTTGTATGAAGTTTTAAAAGTTTCCTTTTATGTGAATTATTTTTATTTTTTGAGGTATCCATCACGAATTGAAAAAATCGACTATGAAGAGGGGAAAATGTTAGTACATTTTGAACGCTGGAGTCATCGTTATGATGAATGGATTTACTGGGATAGCAATAGATTGCGACCCCTTGAGAGACCTGCGCTAAGAAAAGAAGGGCTAAAAGAAGAGGAAGATTTCTTTGTAAGTAGCAAGCATTTCCATTGGCTAAATTTGCTAGCATTGTAATAAGATACTTTACAAAAGCCTGTTTTTGTTAAGGAAATGCTTATTATATGTGCAATTGATCTTAAAAGTTGTTTAAAATAGGATTTTAAAGCTGGAGAAGAAGTTCTGGCTCGTTGGACAGACTGTCGCTATTATCCTGCCAAGATTGAAGCAATTAACAAAGAAGGTATGTATTTGAAGTGGTCTGAGTCTTAAAATTGATGGTAAATTTTAAGTTTTAAAATTTACTCACTGTTTTTTAGTTTTAATTTATGTAATTGTTCCATACTTCTCTTTGTTTTATGTTTTACTGAATGAATTTCCTGCCAGGCTTTTGTGTTTTGTTTTATTTTGAGACAAGGTCTTGCTGTATAGTTCAGAGTGGCCTTGAACTCCCTAAGTAGTGTAGACTGACCCAGAACTCATGGTGATTCTCTTGCCTCCATTTCCCAAGTGCTGGGGTTACAGGTGTGAGCCACCACACCCAGCTCTTGCTAGTGTTTTTTCAAAGCATTTATAACATATTTATAATATATTGCATAGGATAAGATGGCACATGAATTCTGCCACAATAAAAATTTGAATTAGTAGAGGTAAATAGCTAAAAGTTTTTAGTTTACACAATTAAATTATCTGCATTTCATATGTACTTCTTGGTTTCCATTTGTGGTTAAATTTATGAGTGTCTCAATGAGAAAATGAGGAAAGGTGAAAGACAAAAGGGAATTTCAAATCAGTTTAACTCTCGAATAAATCATCATACTGTATTCTCTGAGAGAAGAGTATGTAATTTATCATTTTGAGGTTTTCATTTTATGCCTTCCCCATTAATACCTATAGAATACCAAATTGATTTGCCTAATAATCTTTGGGTGGACATTTGTTACACTATTCAGTACTAAAAAAATGTTACCAGAAATCTTTAGGGTAATACAGAAATCAGCCATATGCAGTATTTCTTACAAGTACTTGGAAGACTAAGGCAGCAGGATCACTTTAGCACAGGAGTTTAGGACTGGCTTGGGCAGCATAATGAGACTCTGCCTTACAAAACAAAACATGAGAAAGCCAAAAGAGCTTCTGAGCTAGAGTTTAGTAGTAGAATATTTGTCTACTATAAGATTAGTGTAGAAATAGGGGCCAGGAAGATGGCTCAGTGGAATAAGTGCTTCCCTGACAAGCGCAAGGGCCTGAGTTCAATCCCCGGTTCCGCAAAAAAAAAAAAAGATTAGTAGTAGAATATTTGTAAGTCACATAGCAGGTTAGGGTCAAACCCCAGCGTAAGAAAAAAAGAAAAAAGACACAGAAATTAGATAAGTTAGTATGGGATCCAAAGTTAGGATTGGCAGTCGTTTGACAGATAATGAATTTAAAACATAGAACTTTTTAGACTGATAGATTTGGAAAGGTAGGAGAATTACTATTTAAATTATTAATTGGAAATACACTTGAATATATTCAGACTTTTCATATAAAATATTTCAAACAGTTATGAAATACCTAATGTATATTCCAAGTCATTACATGTTAGTTTTCTATTACAGTTATTTCTTAAACTTGACCACTTACTCATTGTTTTTGCCATAGAAACTGAATGACAACTTCTTGCCAAGAAGGACATTTGATTTAAGTAAGGGGATACTCTTTTAAACTGAGTCTTGAAATACAGATAAGTTAGCTACAGAGGGAATGCAAAAGTTTTTCTGGCAGAAAGTGTGTCTGGACAAGAAGTGAAAGAGGCGTCCTACCTTAAGAAAATGAATGTTGTTTGGGGGTGAGAAGTTTCTTCCTAGGGATAGAAGAATGGGAGGAAGAGGTATGAATCAGTATGCTAGGTATCGCATAATTTTGCTGAAGAGTTTGAAGGTCATGTGGAGATTATGGGATCTAGTAAGCAAATGTAATCTTCGGATTTAAACTAACAGCAAATGAGAGAAAACAGGAGATAAGTTAGAGCAAAACTTTTTTAAAAATTAAGAAATATTAGATGTGAAAAAATACAGTTCTCGAGCTTGATATCATTGCACAACTTTACAATGATGTAATTCCCCTTTTATTTATTTATTTTATTAAAGCAGTGGGCATGGCTATGGTTTTATTACCAGTAACTGTACCACAGAAAGAGTAGAGAAAGATCTCAGCTGTTGTGCAGTTTCTTTCCTTACACTGGGGCCTGTATCTCTCTGAACACTGACACTTCTGCAGAGCCGTGTTATAAAGTTCGTATGCCCACATATTGTTCAAAGTACCCCCACACTATCTACTGAAAGCCGGGTGCAGGATAGGCAGGAGCAGTCTATGGAAGGAAAGGAAGCTATAATTCATCTGTTCTGTGTGGTAATAGGATCTGTCTAAAAACAAAGCAAAATTAAATAGTACTCTCTACTTGAGCAGTTCATTTCAGTGTGCAGAGCTCTGAGAGTTTTCCTTTCATGTTCCCCAAATAAATGGATATGTAGTTGTATGAATACATGTGTGTGTCCATATAAATGCCACTCAGAAAACTGCCCTTCTTCTTTATCCTATGCCATTTACCCGCATGCATTTAATGTAGAAAAGTCAGGTTATGGAAGAGTAGTCATAGCACTGCTCTGTGACTACCTCTGTTTCAGGGGGAGTTCCATTAAAAACTTAGCTAACTGTTGCCACTCATTATATGTTTTTTAAAAAATCTCCACTAGAAATGCTGTATGAAATTTTGTGGTTTTTGCATTCCCCAGCATAATGGATGAGACTGCTTCTTCAGTCCCCTCCCCTCCAAAAAAAGAGAAAAAAGCAAAAGAAATTGAATTTTGTATAAAAACAAAACAAAAAAATGTGAACATTTTGATATTTGGAATACAGCTTGTAGAAATGACAAGAGGGCCAACCAGTGTAAATTGAGTAATCAGGAGGTTAGCATCTTGTGATGGCACTTGAAGAGCGGGTAGGGCTTAGACAGGCTTCAGGGAAGGAGGAAGGAGGCACTGACCAGAGAAAACACTATGGACAAAGTGATAGCCAGCAGCCTGGACTCCTCTAGACTGCTGTTGTGAGGAAGAGGAGACGCAGTTGCAGGAATGATGGGAATGCAAGGTGTATAGACATTTTGACATTTCTCTCAAAACTTGTCTTTGTAGTATTTCTGTAATTTGATTTTAGATATTTGTGATCCTGAATATTATGCTAACTATAGGAAGATAGGGCATGACATGGTTTCATTTGGATTACATAATAAGAAAAATATTTGCAAAAATAGGCCATTTTTTGTGTGTCAATTCCAAAGTTATTATTCATAATTATTACATTTCTTACTTATAAATCTTGTACAAGCCAAGTAAGTATCTATGTACTTAAGTAGGCACTCTGCTCGTACTTAGGAAACTAGAAAAACATTCATCCAGGTACTGGTAGTTTCCATAAAGATAAAAATCCATGTAATTTTTTCTAATAGTCCTGGCTTATACTGACTTGAAAACAAAGAGTCAGTAACAAAAAGTGAGTCTATTTCAGACCCTACCTGTGAGTGAAAACGCAAGCAGAAGCTTGAGTTGTGAAAGAAGGGTGCGTTGGTAAGAAGGCCCCAGGTGGCTTGGCAGCACTGGGAATGTCCTTTATGACTCGGCTGCTGCTTAGCTGAATGTCAGACAGAGCAGTAGTTGGCCTTCCTGGAATTCAGTGTCCATTTACAAGTGATTTTCTGGCTTAAAAGTTTGGGAATCTAGAGTATTTATATGCCAGATCAATACTGTTGCCAAGAGAATAATCTTTTGCTGGGAAATGATGTTTTTCATGTCAAATCTTTCTGTTTCCAAGAGAGAAAATGATTATTCCTATGGAAATTCTATTTTTCTAAATACTGCTTTTAATTTTATCAGATACATTATAATTCTAAATATTTTTAAATCAGTACAAAATGAAAACATTCCTCAATGAATGTCAGAATTGCAATTAATTAGACTTAATTTATACCCTTTTTAAGGAAGCTAGTAGAGTTGTTTTTAAAAAGAGGAAACAAAATTCTTACATGGGCTGGATGTTTATAGTGCATTTATTTATCTCATCACTACCTCCTACTTTCAAGTGTTGCTGTAAGGTTGCATGATATTTTCTAATGATAGCAACTTACTCCTGTTTCAGGGACATTCACAGTTCAGTTTTATGATGGAGTAATCCGTTGTTTAAAAAGAATGCACATTAAAGCCATGCCTGAGGATGCTAAGGGGCAGGTAAGAGTGTTTAGTATTCCCAGCTACCTAAAGGGATGTCTTCTTGAATGGTGACTGATCACAATATGTAATATTTATTTTAAAAGTGAAATAATTGTAGGGTTATGTGCTGATAGCCCCAAATAGCAGCAAGCAAGAGAAGCTTAGAATGTAAAATAAATTATACACTTGATTTTTGCTTCTTTGGTTTTAGACCTGCTAAAGTTATAGGTCACTAGTTTCTGTTCCAGGTGAAATCCCAGCATCCACTAAGCTGGTGTTGTCCTATCGACCCAGCTGGATCGTGTAACCAGTCTATGGGAAGTGAGGTAAGTGCCTTTTTAAAAAATTTGTTTTATCTGGTATATAGTATCATTTAGAAAGTTAATTTTTAACATTACATTTTACATTGACCTTCTTATCTTCTTCTTTCCTTCCACAAATCATAGTCATTCATCTTCCTTTAAAAGGCGCTTACCTGACACTCTGTAGGCGGTTTCAGGTCGGGCTTTCTGAGTCATGCGGGGAGCAGTGTATTACATGCTTTTCTCTGCTCAACGCAAGAATAAATGCTGAGCATTCAAAAGAAAATATGGGATGGAGTTAAAACTGTATTCCATTTGTAATGTGTACTGAAATACTGCAAAGAAAAGGTGCCATTAGAAACTTTCTTTTATGTTCTGCTGTTATTTGGGATTTTCAGCACCTGGACCTACAATTACTTTTAAGGACTTGAAAGTAATCTATAAAAATGTAGAAATATGTTGCATACTTTCTGGCAAAGTGTCATCCTTAAATGTGTTTTTATTGCCTGGTAAGCTTCAATTAAGTATATAGACATTTAGCAATTTAGAATATGTGTACTACCACATTTAAAACATTATTTCTGAAGAACTCTTATGAAAAGTGTTGTTGTTTTAAATCACCTGGTTTTCAAAAATTTACTTATGATCAGCTTTAGGATTACCCATTTATTAATATTTAACTGAAATTTAGAATGAAAATGTTCTTGTTTGGAAATTGCTTTCTTTCCTCGTGTTTGTATAAATAAAATGTTCTTTTAAGCATTCAGTGGTGTGATTTCTTGGCTACTATACAGAAAAATCAAAAGCGTAGTTTGGTATGTCTGCTTAAGTACACAAAATTCTTGCAAATTTTTGAGGGAGTTTTAAAATTTATGTGTTTTATTCATATTATTCAGATGTCATGAAATAATGTTAATATTACTTAAAGCTTTTCTTTTTATAAAATGGAACAATTTGGTCGGTGATAAAATCACAGGCTGCAGATACTAATTTTATTGGGTGTTTATAGATATCTTTTTCACACCATGATATAGGTTATTTTAAAATTAGTGCAAAATGTAAAACTATTGAAAGAAATTTCAGTAGCAGTATACTTAGCTTTTCATTTTTTTCTTTATAATTCTTAATTGTAAGCAGATTAAATATGTATAGATTTTTTAAAAACCTATTCTTTTTTTTCATAGTAAATGTTTATTAGTCTTTATCTAAGACCTATGCTAAAAGGGTGTTTGGGCAAGGCTGAGACAGTCCTAAATCTTCACATATTTTGAGTACTTTGATAATCCCTTTATAAAGAAAGATTTAAAGTAAAATTTCTTTTGTTAAAGTAGCAGAAAATAATGCATCAAGTGGAGTTACTGTGCATGTGCTCTTCTCTAAACTTTCTGTAGGACTCACATAAAATGAGTTCTCTAACAACATTATTTGTGTGATCTTTTAGAGTAGTATTCTTCTTTTTCTTTCTTTTTTTTAATGTACTTAAGTACAGGGTCCACAGGGTCTTACACAGATTGGCCTTATAGTGATCCACCTGTTTTTCAGCCTCCCAAGAGCTGGAATTACAGACTTGCGCCACCACATCCAGTCTCAATCCCAGTCTCAGAGCACCCCGTGGGTGGGGCCAGCAGGTCAAGCCAGGGATCTGGCCTTTGCATCTGCCTAAGCAGGTGCCTTAATCTGAACTATCTGGCTGGCCCTAGAGTAGTTTTCTTAAGCCAGAATGAAAGTTTTAATGCTATTGTTTTTGGCTTTGAATCAGTTGCTTAATACTGGGCAACCTGTCTGTATTGAGAGTTTAGCTTGATTACAGAGTTTAAATACTGTGTTGGATTATGTGTAAGCAGTGGTCCTTCCTGTGCGATTGCTATAGATGTTTTCCAACTGGGAGAGGTGTAGAAGACACATTCCTGGTCCAAAGTAGGAGCCCCCTCTGCCTACCTACCTGCATTTTTTTCTTTTAAATAATTTTGAGTGGAGTAGTAGTGTTAATGCATAAGTATTTATGCAACTGACATATTTTGTGGGCTGGCGATTAATTCCTCCAACTAATGAGTTACTTACTATTACCACTAGTACTATCTATTACTACTAGTACCTGCTAGTACTAGTAAGTACTAGTTCTCACTGTTACTTCTGATCTTTTGTCCTAATAAAAACATAGCCGCAATGATTAAAGATGAAAGATTGTTTTGTTACGTTAAATTTGGAATTTCATGCAGGAGAAAGACTTGCTTTTCCTTTCTTCTGAAAGTGCTGATACAAAATTTACCTCATAACATACTAGTGTCTCAGAAGAATCTTCACAGTCACAAAATATTTTTCCATATATTGTTTTACTGGATTTTTATATTGCACCTTTTCACATAGGTATGGCTGGTACCATTTTTCTTTCATGGTTGAAAAATTATCTTAGAGAACTAAATTACTGACCTCAAGTGCCACTCTCACATCATGTGCAGAATGACTGCTTGAAGTAGGTCTTTTCATCCCAAGCACAGTGTTTTATTTATTTGTTTCTATGCACTCTCATCTACAGTTAACCTGGAAGCATGTCATTATTCTAATTTATAGAAAGATAATGTTTATTTGACAACATCCTGTCTAAAATACAGGACAGGCTCATGTAGCAGTGTGCACCTGAGGTCACAGCTATTCAGCAGGATTTCAAATTCAATGCCAATCTGGGCAACATAGTGAGACCCTCTCTTAAATAACAATACAAAAGCAGACTAATGGGAGGAATGCTGCTGCTGCTGCTGCTGCTGCTGCTGCTGCTGCTTCTTCTTCTTCTTCTTCTTCTTCTTCTTCTTCTTCTTCTTCTTCTTCTTC